CCAACCCTTGACTTGATTTGATGATGGATTGAAAATGGGTATAAATTTTGAATAGGTGTGAGTTGATTGACGTAGTTGGAGGCATGTAATGGTAGTGTCCATTTGGAATTTAATGCTCACAATGATGAATGATGATGATTGAACCAATAAAAATTATTGTGATACAATTTGGTAACTTAGACAAATTTTGATGGATGAACCAGGATTTGTTATAAAATAAGTTGTTGAGGAATGGTGTAAATGAGTTATGGATGCCTTGAATCATTAATAATAAGGTAAAATAAGTGTGTAATGCATATGAATTGAGTGGAAAACCTTGTCCCCTTGATATGTATTTTTGGCCTAGAGGGAACGATTAGGGGAACGTGGTGCTAAGTCATAATGTAAGGTAAATGAGGATTGTATTGGTGTTGAGAAAAGTTGTGTAACCATAGAAATGATTGGGTGTAATGGAAACACATTGGGCAACATTTTGCCTAAGTCTATTTGTTGATTTATCATGTTGTATTGTGGAGGATTTAATTGTATTATTTATCATTTGAAAAATTGTAATTGTGAACTCATGGACCTTGTGTAATATGTAAAACATGTATGTGATGAAAGGACAATAGACCTATTTTAAGTTATGATTATGTATCTATTGTAAGAATGCAAGCAAATGGGACAATATGATTATAATAATTCTAAGTTTTGATAAAGTATGTAATGAATCATAAATGGATGAGAATATGTTAAATTGTTGTGGGTGTAAGAGCACCAAGGCATTGTTGGTCCTTGAGATACCTATTCTATTCCATGGGGTTTATCTAGTTACTCATATAATATATTAACAATTATATCGAGACAAAATATGAAACAGGATAAAAAGTGCTTATGATTTATTTGCGACAATATAAAAGGTACACTATATGTCCTAATCTAATCAAAATATTGTCTCTAGGACATCCATATACTAACAAGCTCCCACTTGGCCTAGAGCCAATCAGACCTGAGACGTATACCCAAAGCCTCATAATGACTATCATGTTTTCTCTGAGAAACAACCTTCGTCAGAGAATCGGCTAGGTTATCATCAGTGGGAACATAATCCATCTTTACATCCATCATATCAAAGATTTCTCTAATCAGGTGATATCTGTGGAGCACGTGCTTAGATCTTTGATGAGACCTAGGTTCCTTTGACTGCGCAATGGCTCCAGTGTTGTCGCAAAGCAACAGTATGGGCTCATCCACGCTTGGAACCACCCTTAGTTCAGATATGAACTTCTTGATCCACACGGCCTCCTTAGCCGCTTCTGAAGCAGCTATATTCAGCTTCTGTCGTTGAATCTGATGTAGTCTCCTGCTTGGAACTCTTCCAAGACACTGCCCCACCATTTAAGGTGAATACGAACTCTGACTGTGACTTGCAGTCATCTTTGTCACTCTGAAAGCTGTTATGCGCGACGTGGGCACGCTTCTTCAAAAACCCTAATTTCCAACAATTTTCACCAGAAATCATATTTCGTAATCCTATGTACCATTTATAACTTATTTCGTAATCCGGTAAAAATACTATTCACCAAATTTCCTGAAACTTGTCTAACCACTCAATTTTTTGTTCTGAATCCATTTCCAGAGTTAGTTTTTTCATTTGAGACATTCTACTCAATTTTTCTTTTCTAGGGTTATATGTTTGGCAATTTACCATTTTACCCTTCTTTTGTATTTTGTCCCTAATTTCAGGATTTTCACTAATCCTACCCCTTAATCCACATTTTCATATATAATTACACATTTTAGAAATACGAGGTGTTATACCCTGCGACCTACAGAACGCTATACAACTCTAAATGGCACCAAATTTTGGGAAAATATAGTTGACATCTCAAGATTTAAAATGGTGTATAGAACGTCCCATTTGGACGTCTGTAGAGAGAGATATGGTCTCCCAAAGTTGGCCTAAAAACTGATCATTTCTTAGAAAATTCAACGGCATGTCCTTTATTTTATTATCTAATCCCACTTTACCAAAATGTGTTCTAAACCATCAAATTGTACCTAGTTAACAAGGGTGGCACATAAGGATCAATAATCCTTGATGCTCTTACAACCCACAACATAATTGCATCATTTCTCGTTCACTTACAAATACTTGACATCACATCTTGCATTCTTCACATGGTACAATCTTAGTTGTGCAATAACATAAGGCATCTCACCTATACCAGCAGTCACATCAATACAGGATACTTCCTTGTATCCAAACCCTTATACAAGATAACAATAGTCTCCAGGAACATAATCCGCACAGAGATAAGAAGAATCTCCGGGAACATAATCCGCACAGAGATAAGAAGAGCCTCCAACTGCCAAAGGATGTGTTCCCATCCTGGTTCGAGCTCAGTGGCCCCCTTTCTAGCACGATCATCTTGGCACAAGACTTCGCTTGCTACCGAGCTAGGGGGCTCCTGTTTTGGATATCCCAACTGGCTAGCCCAACAAGGCAGGCCTAGCCCCAAGGAATCAATCCACGTCAGCCTACTGTACCACCTCTGTGGTCACTGTCCCCATGCAACAGGATCCCCCAATGTAAGACACCAGAATGCCTTATGTTGGGACGCTACCTTCTTTTGGTAGCCTCCTAGACACCCCAAATAGACATCCCCCCTTTCATAGCTACTGCTTCAACCACTGCTACCAACATAGCAAGTGCTGCAAACTCTTCCCTAGGAGAGTTGACCTAGCTCACTCTTCCACACAGGCAAGACACCACCCCCTCCTATAAATACCCACATTTTCACCTAAAAAGGGCATTTCCAACATATATTGTTACCCTGCTGCACCACAGATCCATTGTAGCCCCTGTCACACACACAATCCCCCCCCCCCACTTTCATCGTTTCGCACCACACCTGGGACTAAGGAAGCACGAACACTTGTAAAAACAGGAAGAGTCGGGTCCGACACGCTCCGACACGGTGTCGGACACGCGGTTGACTTTTTCCGACACGTTGACCATTCCGACACGCGAATTTGACCGTGTCCGACACGGTCAAATGGCATTTTCGTAATTTTTTTTAATTTTTTTTTAGTTTTTTTTTTTAATTTTTTTTAAAAAAAATTGTTTTTTTAAAAGTTAAAATATATTAATAAAGCTTCCACCTGATCATATCAATTTTATCTTTTTGTCTTTTTTCCCTTTAAGTAGATAAGAGATCATCTCAGCATTATTGTTGTCGATTCCTATCACGCTCTTGTTGTATCTTCTTCTCTCTGATCTCTCTCTAATATGATTTGATCTCTCTATCTGATATTATATATATCTCTCATCCCAGTTCTTATTTTTTTTATTAAAGCTTCCATCTTTATAACGTGTTGATGGGTATTATTAATTTAGTTTCTTTTTTTTGTTAAATTATTAAATATTAAATGAAATATACACTATATAAATTAAAAATATTATTTAATATTAAAACGTGTTCCAACGTGTCGAAATCCATAATTTTTTAAGATTGACGTGTCGGAGTGTCGTGTCGTGTCGTGTCGTGTCACGTGTCGCGTGTCGTATCGGTGCTACATAGCCTGGGACTTTATCGTTTACCTTGGTCTGTACCTCTGCTAACGTTGATACCCCTATAGTGACCACTACTCCCCTTTTAGGTTACATATTGGGCTCGCAGCCCATTTACGGTACAAATTTTTTTATTATGTTATTCCATGTCACAAGCTCATGCAATTTTACGTAGGTTAAAGACAGGGTTCATGGTCATGTTGTTGATTGCAATATTTCAAGGTCCATAGATCATAAAACCGAACCAAAAGCAAGTTAAGGGTCCTAAATGTTATGCTTGAATGATTCTATGTGGAAGAAATGATTTAGGGTTGTTATCATTTGAAACATGCTTATGTTATGAGCAATCGCAACGAGAAGAGAATAATGTACCTTGCCTTTGTATTTTGCAAAGTAATTGCAAAAATGTATTAATCAAAAGTCAAAAATCTTTGGGCTACCATATTTTGTTTTAATTTACTTGAAGGAACTATTTAGAACTTTGAGCGTTGTTTGTTGTTATAGGGTTGTGCTTTTTAGAACATAGAGTAAATACTTTTTTTTGGTCCTCAGCAAATTTCACGATACCCGCTTTAGTCCCTAGTCCATCGTGGTCCCTAAGAAATTCAAAATGAACCCATTTTAATCCTTTTAGAGACTAATATGGATCTTTTTTGAATTTGTGAAATACCACGATTTCAACTAAATGGGTCCATTTTGAATTTCTTAGGGACCACGATGGAGATTTTTATTTGCTAGGGACTAAAACGGATATCGTGAAATTTGCTGAGGACCAAAAAGGGTCTTTACTCTATGATAAACAACCATGTTGTTGACTCTTCGTACCAAGTTGACTAAAATTTCATGTACTTAGACGAGTTTAAATGATGTAATCGGCAGTGTTGCAAATATGTTTTGGCTGTTTGCTTTATTTAGGGGTTGATACATCTTCATCTCATGGTTAACCTCATGACGTAAGACTTACGTATGTGGAAATCCTGTTTTTGGTACATAATTGGACAATAATGAAATAGGAAAATACTTGTCTACATTCTATATTACTTGAAATTTTGAAGAGTGAATAGATTGGAGCTTTAGTACGTGTTAGAACTGCGTTGGAATTAAATAAAGTCATGGCATAGGTGTGAAACTAAGGTAAAAGACCAGAATCCGAATTCTTGCCAAATCTTGGCCCTTTAAGTGGGTCAACTTACTTTGAGTAAAAGCAATTAAAAAGAAAAAAATTAAGTCCTATACTATGGATAAAATAGTGGGAGTAAGATTGAATGAATTAGGGGAAACCAATTGTAACAAATTGTTGTAATTCAACAATGTTGGATTACCCTTAGAATTTAAGACATAGTTTCTAAAATAATTGAATCAAGATCAAAAAGAAAAAGGGGTTGTTCAATTGTAAATAAATAAATACACAATTTACCGACTCTAGGTCTTAACGTTTTTCATTGGTATTATTTTACATATGTCTAGTTAAATAATGCAAGAATAAATCTTCCTATAAGAATTTTCTCACCCCTACCCTCTCCTAAGTCGGGGTTTTACCGGGAGTTGCATATTTATATCAAATCAACTAATGGAACAAGTGTAACAAATATTACAGTTACCAAGACAAAAACGCCACATATACTCCTAATCCCCTATCACACCCAAAAAGAATGACAAAAAATTAAAAATAAAAATACAACGTATTTTTGAAGCAACCCAATTTTGGCTGCTTTGCAAGAGGGAAAACCGAAGCAGACTGAAGCATCCACATCTGAGAAAATAACCTTAACTGATCACCAGTGCTTCATTCCTTTATTAGTCTGTAAAATCAACCATGAACAAAAACAGATTGGCTGCTGTATATGCTGAACCTTCTCGTTTTGCAACTGATCCAAGCAAAATTCTAAATCAATTTGTAAAGCCATATTTGGAGGGGCCCTTTCTTTCGTGACAATGACCAAAGTCAGATCACCGGGATTTGGAAGACACAACTGGAGGTCCAGCCATATGAAATCTCTTGATGAAAACTTGCCAGTTCAAAATGGGTGTAGAAAATAATTAAATAAGTACTAGGGTCGTCGTGTGGCGCACTAATTTGGCAACCAAAAGTCCTGATTTGCACACTTCTATCTTCTCCATGTCGGTTCTTGAGGCTTCGCAATCCCATGCAGGTAGATATATACAATTCATCATATTGGACTGAACTCCACAGGACCACAGGTGGAGGTAGTACCGTAAGATAAGCAACCCGAGTTTCTATGGAGTCTAGTTGAAAAAATATGGAGACTCCAAAACCTCTCGAAGATCAAAATCTCCCCGCTCTGGTAAGGGAGGAAAGTTTAATGTGGGAAAAGTCTTCTCAAAGCTCTCCAACAACTGCATTCATGATTAAACAAGGAAGTCTTATAAAGCAAAGTCATTTGGTATCCGATGACAAGTTTACTGATAGACAATACGTGGAACAAATAAACTAAAAAAAAATAGGGGGAAAAAAATGAGGCTAGTATGTCAAGCAATATTGTCAAGTTGAAAGGTAGGTTAGGTGACACAAGGGAAATACCAGAGAATGCAATTACAAAAGCATCAAAACTTTCAAAAGTAAACAGTCAGTTTCATATGAATATAATCCACAAGGTTATGATTCAGTTCATTGCTTGCGAATCCCAAGAAAAAGGAAAGTTTGACTGGATTTAATGAATTAATGATAACGCACAAGCGATGACCAACAGTTTAGTGTATAAAAAAGGAAATGTCAGAATGGATTCAAAGAAAGTGCTTCATTTAACCCAGTCCCAGAAAATAACGAAAATTACAAAAAACAGGGTCAGAAAGTGACATTTATCTACATCTAAGAAGCTTATATAATTAAAGATACAAGATACTTTACATTTTCCAATATTGGAGCATCGTAGAGTTCAACAAACTTTTCCCTGAGTATTCTGTTCATTTCATCAACATCACATGCATGTGTCCAATATGAGTCATGAACCCCTGCAATTAAGCATTGGTTTAGAAAAATTTGAAATTCCTAATTAAACGATAACATTGATGAACATATACATGGCTGTTTGTGTGTTTTATATAAACCGGTAAGCACCTGCAAAATTCAATCCTGCTTTTTTAGAAGCAACTGCAGTCATCATCATGTGAGAACCATCAAGAGAGTGAACAAAATTAGGGGGAAAAGCTGTTCTCTGTCTTTTAACCATGACCTGGAATACAAGCATGGATTGCGTTATTATATTAATAATACCTTTATCCCATACTAGTTAGAGTGGGTGATCAATAAACCGAAATGATAAGCAAGAAAAGATTGAGGGAAAAGACGGGGGCAAATAAATAAATAAATAAAAGTAAAAGTAAATAAAAATTGAAAATTGAAAATTACAATATATATATATATATATATATATATATAAGAATAAAAATAAAGTGAAAATAAAAATATATATGAATAAAAAAATAGAATAAAAATAAAAAAATAGATAAATAAAGGGGAAAAATAAAATAGAGAGGAAAATAATCGACTAAAAAAATGATAAATGAAGGGAAATATAAATAGAAAGACCAAACAACCGTCTAATCTGAAACATAGGAAGAAAAACGAGTCTAACCCTCCACAGTGCTAATAACTTTCCTCCAATCAGTCCCAAGACACAGCTCCGTTAAATCTCGTTTTACTATTTTCCCTCAAATTTGAGTTGACCTCTTCCTTCCTTTGTGTCAAACACATAATAACGAACTTTTGATCTCATAGGAGTATTTAGGGGTCTTTGCTTTTGTTGAGATATATATGTTGAGATATATAAATCCATTAATGTAGCCTCACCCAACAGCTTAAGCTTTTGGGTTGAATTGGTTCTTTACATGGTATCAGAGCCTCGTGTCCCGGGTTCGATCCTCACCGCCCCCCACTTTCTCTAGTGGAATTTCTTTCTTCGCACAGGTAGGTGGGCCTGTGCATCGTTCACCCTTCAAGCCCAGTGGGCTCTCGTGTGAGGGGGCGTGTTAAGATATATAAATCCATTAATGTAGCCTCACCCAACAGCTTAAGCTTTTGGGTTGAATTGGTTCTTTACAGCTTTATATACGCCCAAATCTCAATTTATATTCTCTTATCTTTTTAGCCATTGATATTCTCTTATCTTTTTTTATTCTCCTACCTCTTGTCGAATATCTTCATTTCTTATATTTTCTATCCTTGTATGATCACAACTTGTTAGCAAGGTCTTTAAATCTCCTAGAAGCAGCCCCTTAGTCAACCTCTGTTTTATCCCATACAAAAGAAAAGAAAAAAGTGGTTTTTTCTAGCATATGGCTATAGTAAGATATTCCCTTCTATATTGCCCCAAGGGGGTTACAGGTTTTCACAAGTAATAGCAAAATAATAACGCAGGGTCCAATATAAGTACACTAAGTAATTGGATATTGAAATCAGTCATTAAAAAACAAGTAATCTAATCTGATTCCGTGATGCATCATGCATCTTACAAAATATGGGATCTTACTCAAATAAATAGTTACCTTGTCAGTTTCACGTTGTAACGTCAATATCTGGAGGGAAGTCTTGATCTGCATCAAATCCAATTTACCATAACAGTGAAGTATGTAAAGAATCATTTCAACTCAAAATTTAAGTTGTTGAGAGAGGTTATATTAATGAGTTTATATTTCTCTTAACAACATTAAAAAATTTGTCAACTACTGCTGGATTATTTGATTTGAAAAAAAAAAACTACACATGAAAGAGAGGCAAAAATTATGCTGACTGTTGAGAAACTTACAAGATGTCTTCCTATTTGTCGGTAAGGTTGAACTACAGGAAGCCCAAGGGGAGTGATCCATCGGACTGCTTCGTTCGTGGAAGCTATCACCTATCCGTGTTCAAAATTCAACCATTAAATGCAATAAAGACTGATATGCAATACAGGTCAAAGCATAATCAACATTAAAAAAAGGGAAAATAGTGACGTGAACCACAAAAATAGATCAGGGAAAACATGCCAAAAGTAACAATGAATGAAACGAAAAGGACGTCTCAAAAATGTTGGGGACATTATATGTCTGTAGCATGATTGATAACTGATGTATGGAAGGCACCTAATAATAGATTGATGGGACTGAGATAATTATTTAGTTAGTTAGGGAGTTATTCTAGAATATTCTCAAATAATAGGATATAAGGAGGGGAGTGTGGGAGTGTGAGGTATGCATGTATTCACTAAAATGGGAATTGGGAATTGATAAAAGGATCTCTAGGGATCTCTTGAGGCCTAGGTCTTGAGGGTGAGTTGAGGTCTCTGTTGATTTATCTTTTCTAGTTGTATTTTCTTGCATTGTTACTTTATTTCTGCATTTCGTTTGCTGTCTTAATGGAGCTGGTCTCCAGTGAACTTTGAATTAATAGAGATATGTTGTTGTTAGTCATTGTTATATTTGTGGGGTTCCATCAAATTGGTATCAAAGCTTCAGATCCTTGGAGCATTGATCTAGATCTCTTAAAAAAAAAAAAAGAGAAAAAAATGATTCCAGATTTTTAGGAAGATGGGATTAAAGCTTGGGGATGGCTGATCGGTCTTGAACAACATTTTCAAGCAAACCAAATTCAAGAAGTTAATATGCTGAATGAAGCTGTGAAGGGGTTGAGAGTTCATGCTCTTAGCTGGTACAAACTTTGGAGTGGGCTCAATTCCCATGTAAGCTGGCGGAGCTTTGATAGAGCATTTATAGGGAGATATATACCTGAGATCTGTGTGGCAAAGGAGGTTGAAGTATCGAACAACCCAGAGAAAAGGGAGGAAACAAAAAAAATTGAAAGAAAAAAAAGACGAGATCGAAGAGGCAAAATCAGAGCATTCCACTCTAGAAGATAAGGAGGGAATAACATCTCCAAAATCAGACCCAGCAATTGATGGTGATGAAGTAGCAGAAGAAGAAAAAGAGGAAACAGATGTAGCAAAACCTGAGAAAAAAGACGAAGGGAAAAATAATAAAAATGAGGAAGAAAAAGAAGACACAAGAGAAAAAGAAGGAGGATCGCAAGAAGATCAAGAAGAAGTAAAGGTGCAGGGAGAAGAACAAAACCAGGACAAAGAAGTTGGCGGAAGGGTGACCACTCCGGCTGAGAGACATCTCCACGCGCTGATTGTAAGCACGATGACGATGGCACAACAAATCGAGGAGAAGACCGAAGTGTTGGGGAAGACTACTCAGACGCTGGGTCGAGGAAGTGGATCTCGTAATATTGTGCCTGGTCCAGGCCACCATACACGGGATGTTGTGTCAACCTGAAATGGGTTCCTGGGAGGAGAACCGAATGAAGCTACTGGGCCAAGGATGAGAACGGGGTTGAATGGGGCTACATATAGGTCCATCTCGCTGTGGGCTAATAGAAGTTTTGGGCCTCACTTACGGCCCAATAAGACAAACCCTACACTTGTGCAAGCAGCAGCTGAAGATGCAGAAGGGCAAGGGTCAATGCAGGGAGCCTCTGTGGGAAGCGTCCATGGCGGTGATAGGTGCGGAGCCCGTTTCCAACGACTGTTGCCGGAGGAGCTCAACGATGGATCATGGTGCAGTCTTCGTTTCAACTGCAACGCGTCTTTCCCATCGGATTATTCATACCAGAATCCGCACTTCCTCGTTGTTGTTGGAGGCTAGGGAACCGAAGCCAGAAAGTAGAGGAGGACAGAAGATGTTGGGAGTAAATGAGTTTGTTGTTCTTTCCTTCACCATGGGGTTACATGACCAGCCATCTTTGGGCTTCAAAAAAGGTGCTACAAAGGGATTGGATATTCTTGATCCTGCTCTATTGAGGAAAGATTATTTTGACAGGATCATCAGAGTTGGTTTGCCATCAAACGATGGAAAATTTTCCATTTTGAAGGTGCATGCTAGGAATATATTTTTGCCTCATTGGGAATTAGGAAAAAGATCTCTAGGGATCTCTTGAGGCCTATTATCCGGAGGATGCCTTATATATATTCTATCCAAAAAAATGAACAATCAAACCTATTTCTCGATTCAATAGAAGCCCAAAGAGGTGAATAGGGTCCCAAATAATGAGATATAAAAAAAGCAGGTCCGATTACGCCTATTCTTAATCCTAATAGGTCTTTGGTTTTGAGGGTGAGTTGAGGTCTCTGTTGGTTTCTCTTTTCTAGTTGTATTTTCTTGCATTGTTACTTTATTTCTGCATTGTTACTTCATTCAGAATAATCATTAGACAATACAATAGATGTAACAAGTCACATGTTAGCCCTTTTATCACATTAGCTATATTTCACAGCTATAAACAGTTAAATCACTCATGCTTTAAAGTAATGCTTTTCTACACAAAATTAGCCATACCTTTGCACAGTCACCTAACCAACTCATAATACTTCTTGCAGCCTCAAACATCTCCTCTAAAGCAGTGAGAGTGGTCTACAAAACAATAATGGTAAGTAAAATAAATACAGGAACAGATTAAGAAATGTTCCACATGCAACTCCATTGAATCAACTTTTTTTACTTTCGCAGCATAGCAAGCAGCAGCAAATAGCTCTGAATCATCCTCAATGGCGCAACGCTCCTTTAACCTCCTCTTGATCTGGTCCCGGGCCCCAATATAAGTCACTCCATAGACTGATGTCATCACTGTCTGCTTTACCAACTTTCGGTCCACCTAATGGGGCCAATTATGACAGTGTTTAGATGATATAAGATTCAGGCTGGCACATATGTATGTGCTTTCATAATCCAAGGAAAAAAATAAAACTTCATATACAACTCATGTTAGATAAGTCAATAATATTATTTATCGTAGGTCTAAAACTCCCTTTCCATTTTCAAATACTCAACAAAAGAACAACTAAAAAAGAAAATAACATCTCAAAACTCGAAAAACCTGGCTGATCAAACGCCTAGCATGCAATGCATTTGGATTAGTTTGGGGATCTTTCTCTGCATCTTTTCTCATGATTTCAAGTACTCTGCACCATTACACAACATTTAAAGACATCAAATCAAAACAATAGCCCTTGAAACATTTTAACGTATCAAAACAGATAAATTTATTGCCAACAGCAAAATAAAATCATACAAGTTATTCATAGACAAAGGAATAAATGAATATGAAATAGGGTTATTAAGGTCAGTTCTGGGGGGAACATTACAATGCAATGGCAGATGCAACTTACTCCCTTCTCTAATAGAATGGAATCGGATAGTCAGAGAGAAAATGAAAAAGGAAAGTGGAATAACATAGCACCGAATAACATAGCACCTTCTCCTAAAGTTGCTATGTATGTCATTCCTTGGTTGATATTATAAGGTTTAGGTAAGGAAGACGGAAAAAAGACCATAGAACTCTAAATAACAGAATAGGATGTTAGATTGATATAGCGTATTGTGATGTGATGAAAATACAAAGCACAAACACCCATCTGTACTAAGAATTGGGTCAAATAGTAATGAAATACTGCTAGCATAAGCCCAAGCCCACAAATACAATAAGACTCCTAAACCTAATTAAGAAAAGAAATCCGCTGTTACAACCTCAAACATAAAGGTTTATTCTAGGCACAGGGGTAGGGGATCATTCGTAACTAACGCTGAGTCAGCAAAGTGAATGGAAAGGTCATCTATTTTGTTAAGGCTAGTTATGGGTGTTGCAAATGTGCATGGGGTGGATATATGGCATGGAAATGGTATTGGTGAGGTACGCAAAATTGAGCTTGGCTGGGAGAGATCACTGGCTCTCAAATTCCCCTGACTTTCTTTTCTTTCTCACTTTCCATTTTAGTTTTCATCCACTGCAGTCTTGTGTGTTGTTATGGATTGTAATCAGAAGAACACCAGTACTGAGCATCAGTAATACAATTTTCACATTGAGTCTTTTTCCTATTTTTTTCTTGTTACTGTTTTGGGTGTTATTACAACCAGTCTTCCAGAAGTTACAAACGTATAGATTCAATTCTTTAGCCCGTAAAGTGAATGAAAAGCTAAGTCCCCATTTCTATGGCCCATCTAAGATCTTGAGAGAATTGGGATGGCTGCTTATAAGCCAAAGCTTCCAGCATATTGTAATATTCACCATTTGTTCTCTGTGTCCCTTTTAAAAAGGGTTATGGCTGTAGTAACAAAGTTGCAACCTTTTACCCTATGCCGAATAATGAAATGGAATTACAATTAGTGCCAGAAGATGTAGTTTAGTGGCGCAAATCTTCAACTTAACAGTATGGAATTACATCTTTTACTTATAATATTTCATGATTAATTTAATTTAAGCATACTTTATCTTTGTCATATTTTGTCTCGCCTTTTATTTATGGTTAATATGTGTTTAAAGATAAAGGAACTAAGGGATAGAACAGGTGTTCACTCGAGGATAAATGATACGAATCATGATTATGAGGACTCAAATGCACTACATGTCTACAGCATGAAGCTTGTTTCTAGTCTTGATTCACCAAGATAAGGCATTGATGATCTCGATAAAACTAGCACAACGTCATCTACTTGTATGGATATAAAAGGTAGGGACCCCATAGAATGCAGGCATGGAGATGCCTTTAATTGATGTCGTGGGTGGATCTGTTAGATAATAGATGGCACTGAAGTGAACCGCCGAGAGACTCCACAAGGATTCATTGTACAAAGTATCATTGGATTTGTAACATCTCTCATCGTTTGGTAGTGTGGATCGTCTTAGACTTGAGTATGTCATCAAACATTATGTCCTTAGGTTATACTTTGACTGTAAGACTCTATCCGCCTGAAAATGGAGAGAACAATATACTCTTGAGTATGACTCGAATACATGAATATAGATGGACATACCAATAGGACTCATAGTCCCCTACAAGGGATTAATTGTTCACAAGATCGGTAGAGCTTGAATGACTTCTATTATACTCGAAAATCTATGCATAATAAGGGATTATTATAATAACCCACACTATTAAGTTTTGGAAATGTAAGATAATTATGGATTTGATTAGTAAGTTCTGTAAGCTATGAATTAAATAGGTTTCTGATGGAATTTGAAATCAGTTAATCATGAGATTAACATGATAATGTGAATAAGAATACAATTCATGCCAAACAAGTCAATTAGGACCCAAATGAAAGTGTCATAAAAGATTCAGGACATTTGTCATTATGGTAAAAGTTTGGGACCAAACAAAACTTGGCCTAAACTTGATTTGGATATTATAATTGTTTAGAGAATTTTGTGGGTTTAAAGTGATCTTTGTGTGATTTAATTATAATTAGGAAATTAGATTAAAATAGATCAAAGTTGGTGAAAATAATAACCAATAGGAAGCTTTTAGTAGCCAAAGTGATATTTAAGACCATTTTAGTAGCCAAAGTCGATCATATATTCTTGTTCCCCTCCACGCACCTTCTTCTTCTTCCTTATTCTGGTCGAACTCCATTTTTGGTGTTCAAGATATTCACTTCATCAAACACTCACTTTTAGACCTAGTTTCCTTCACAAAAAATTATCCTTGCACCTTGAGTAACAAAACCTACCATTTAGTTCACCCTGTGAGGCTGCTTTTGGAGAGTTTTCCTTCCATAAGTCCAGCGACCTAGGTGCCATCTTCGTGAGAAAAATGGATTGTTTTCATGGTTCAAAGGTTGAAGATTGATTCTAGCTTGTGCAGAAGTCATTAGAGGTAAGAAAACTCACTTTAGATGGATGAATTCCAAGTTTTAATTTAGGTTTTCTTGCTATTTTGGGCTGAAAATGGATGGGTTTGATCATGATGTTTTGGTATGGTTTGTTGTTGGTTGTTGACTATTTGATGATTGGAAGTTGAAAGAACCATTGAATGTTGAAAGAAAAGCATGCGGGTTTGATGAAAATTCAATACTGTAATTTGGCCATGTAGGGAAAAATTATGAAGATTGTGTTTGATCATATGTTAGTAAGAAATAATGATTAGTAGGTGATTTAATGATGAATTATATGGTTGATAACTAGTTGAAGTTTGGAAATAATGCATGAAACCTTCAATGATGCCATTCGGCCATCACTAGTTAAAAGGCTTGGAAGTGTTGTTTTGTTGAGTTAAATGGTATTTGATGTCTCTTGTATATGATGGAGTTTAATGGAACATGAATTTGTTATAAGGAGGTTTGAAAAGCTTATGATTCCTTTATGTATGCCATTAGGCCATATTGAGGAAAAACAAAGCAAAAAGTGATTTGATTATGTAATGATGTTGAATAATGGTCATTGGATTAAGTAATGTGAAATGGACTTGTTGGTTGTCATCGAAAAGTTTGTGAAGTCCATTAATCATAGTTGTTATGTTTTTGCCATGCTAAAGAAAAATGGTTTAAAAGTTTGCTAATGAAGTATGATGCTTGGAAGCTTATTTGTAGGTTATTTTAAGTATTTTTTGGTTTAACAAACCATAATTTGAATGAAGATTCCTTGGTGAATTCCTTTGGTCACACATTCGGCCATTTTGGAATTAAATTGGTTAGAAGCATGTTAGACTTTAGGTTATGCTTTGTAGGATTTTTTAGTGATATGTTAAGCCTTTGCAAAGTGATAAGTTTGTATTAGTAATAGTAACAAACAAGAATTGGGTCCATTCTTTGACTTGTGAGTTAATAAGTATGACTTGAGTTTTGGCATGTTTTGGATACATTTTTGGATATGTTTTGGCATGATTTGGCACTTTAAAGTGTTGAATTAACCATGTGTATCACCATTTTGAATTTCGAAATTAGCATGTAAAGTGTTGATTTCTTAGAATACAAGTATGTTTGGTGATTATGATGATTGTATTCATTTGAAATAGAGTGGAATCAAGTGAACAAGTGAAGGCAAGTCAATCAAAGGATTTTGATTTGGAATCTTTGATGAATCAAGATTAGGCGAGTTACCTAACTTTGGTTGATAATATGAATGCGGGAGCTGGTATGTGAATTATAATCTATGATTGATTATATTCTACACCTTTGAATTAGGTGTTCTTTGTAGCAAGCAATTCTGTTGGACAATTCAAGTATATGTAAGATTGTATAAAGTTTCTTGGAAATCAAGTAATCTTCGGATTGGAGCTTCGAGAGGTAAGCTCTTGGTTTAAGGAGGTTTTTCCTACTTTGATTGTTCAACCATGACTCAATGGGTTGTGGTTTGGATCATAGTAGTTAATTGCGTCGCAATAGTGCCACAAGTCGCGCCATACGGGCGTTGTAGTGCCTCGCCGCAAGAAACCGCGCTGCGCCGCACTGAAAAGCAATCGCGGCCATTGTGATCGCATTTGCGGCCAAATCGTGGCCATATTGCTCTCATATGGCAAAATGTCAATTTTGTCCTAGATTTAAATGTGTAACAGAAAAATTTTAAGGGTTTTTTAATCTATCTGCGTCTCTCTGTTACTTTTGTTATTTCTGCCTTAAAAAATGTTTCTTTTTGTCATTATTTTTGTCATATATCTATTCCGCTATTTTCGCAACTGCAACCGGCGCTACAGCGTTTTTCTGGGTTGACCGCGACATGCCGCGATCTGCATTTGATAACTTTGGTTTGGATATATGTATGTCTGTATTTCTGTCTTTGTTAGATACTTAGTATAGTTGCATTCATGTAGGTTATGGATTTATGACTATATATATGTATTCTTGGTGTTTGATTTGTGAATAAGTTATGTTATAAAATTATATGATATATCTGATTCAGTATGATATGTTATGTCTGATTTTCGGTTCTTGGCCAATGAACATATACTCTGTGTTCTTCCATGAGTACTATGATGCTGGGAAGATTTTGTTATACTCTATTGTTCTCCGTAAGGACTTATGTTTTCGGAGATTTTGTTAACTTCCATGAGTGCTCCGATCCTCGGCAGACTATGGTTTCTCTGGAGGGACGTATGTCCTCAGAGATATCTGTCTGGGCTATCGAGTAGAGATTTGAACTACTGGATGTCGTATCTTAGTTAAGCTATGTTATACTCTATTATGCTCCATTATGCTCTGTTATGTTTTGTTTTGTTCTGTTCTGCTCCGAAGGAACTTATATTCTCGGAGATTCTGTTTGGACCATTCTATGGAGGAATACGACTCCTAGATGTCAATCTATTATTTCTGCGTACCTGATGTCTGCTATACTCTGTATCTAACCTCTCATGCAGGAAGTGAACTCATGGGTGGAGACTTCTCCATAAACCCTGAGTTTACTGAGATTGTCAATCTCACCCCGTTTGGGTATGTATATATGTTTTGTACTGTATTCAGAGGATGATTGTATATGTTTTGTAGCATGGCATATGATCATGCATCTGTAAAGTCTGACGTCTGTATCTGATAGATATGTTGTATATATTTGAGAGACATATTTGTATATGATGTATTCAGTTATCTGTTTTATAATTTGTTATGTAAAAGTATTTATGTTTGTATGTTTAAGTCTGATGAGAATTGGCACGGAGCAAAATTCTGGAGGAATCCATGAATGGATTCTAAGTCTGTTGGTATGTATATTTCGTATGTTTGGACTTTTCTGAATTTCAGGGATTATTCAAGATGTGGGATTTCCCCTGAGCTATCCAGTTTTCAGCTGTTATGTTGTCCGTGAGATTATGTCCGAAATGGTACTAGTTATCATATTCGGATAGACTTTGACTATTAATTACGGTCACAGGATTATTGGATAAAAGTTTTGTGCAGGTATGGACTATAAAGTTTAAGATCATACAAGAAATAAATAATGCATGCCAATATGTAAGAAAAAAAAAACAAAAAGGAAAAAGTTAAGTCATTAAGTTACACGGGTAAAAGTGCTACATTTATGAAAGTATTCCGCTTAAGCATTTATTTATGCTGCGTTTCTATACCATATGCATGTTAATTAACCGGCTGCAGAAGAAACATTACAATTATGAGAAGTCAATAGAAGAAGATTCTTAATTTTGTGAAAAACTTCATTTAGTCACACAAGATAGAAGATATTATATCCTTCTTCTCAATTAAATATGAACGAAGTTATGAGGGATGATGTTAGCACAGTATCTGAATTAGAAAGGTAGATCACTTGATCAACTTAATCAGTTCTGGAGGTACAGAGCATTGCTAGTGTCTTATGTTAGTGACTAATTGAGCCTAATAGGTTTAAATGGGCTCATTAAAGGAATTTAATTGGCCTAAGTTTATTGTCAGTGACCAATTAGGCCTAATGGATCACACATCAATATTGATCTCAGTTTATTGTCAGTGACCAATTGGGCCTGTAGAATATTCTAGATTATCATTTATCATTTATTGCTTTCTTGCTATCTATTCCCTTATTTATTAGTGTCTCTTGTTATTGTAAATAAGTCTCTTAGGTTACTGTTGCTATTTATTAGTATAGCTCTCTGTACTCAATATAAAAAGAACCTATTGGGTCTCTCAATGAATTAAAGAAATTGTGTTATTCACAAAAGCACTTCTACTTTTCATCATGGTATCAAGAGCTGGTTATAATCCAGTCTCTTCCCCGTTCTAATTTCTTTTTAAGTCTTCTTTCTCTTCCTTTTTCGTTTTTTTGCCTCTGCCAAGGCCAGAACCCTCACCTAGACACCTCCAACCACGAAACCAAGGCCACTGTTAGGTTCAAAACAAAATTCTGAGCCAGCCAACAAAAGGCCCGTCGCCGAAAACCCAGCCACGCGCCGCCACGCGCCACCACCATCCTTCAGCCTCGCCGGCGCGTGTGATCCACGCGCCGCCCTCCCATCATTTTTTTCCGGCGAGTCATACCCCGTTCTGATCGTCTGCCTCCCTTCTTCCTGTTTTGGGGGGTCAAAATTGTATTTGGAGGAACTTTTTTTCTGGGTACTTTTTGTTAGAAAGCCATGGACACTGAAAATGTTGAAAATTCATCTGTAATTTCGTCCGGAACCTCACCCCTTCCCATCTCTTCGTCTTCTGGTGACAACCAGCAATGCAGATCCCCAATCACCGTTTAAACGGTAGGAACTATGTGCAATGGTGTCAATCTGTTAAGTTGTTTATCCAGGCTAATGAGCCAACATGGTTCATTCAATAATGGGCTGGGAATGGGTCATTAGTCCAGACCAGCCTTGACTACTAGGTACGGGAGCCCATTTGGAGAAACAGTCGGGTCACATAACACAAGGACGCGAAATGGGTTGGGTTTGTTCCAGTGTGGGTCCAATACGAACGACAATAGAAATACTGGGCCTCAGATGCGGCCCAATGAACTAAACACCATATTTGGGCATGGAACAACTGGATTGGTGTGGGGAAATGGTATACACATGGGGGTACAGCAGGGGCCGCAAACGGCAATGACAAACGCGATGCGTGGTACAGACGTCTGATAGCTGAGGTGGTGGTGGACGGAGTGGTGGCGCTAGAATCCCTAAATATCAAGTCACCTGCGCAAACGGACTCTGAGGGTAACGAAGGACAAAGGTCAATGCAGCGAGCCTCCGTTGGAAACGTCAATGGCGTCGACAGGAGAGGCATGCGCTTCAGGCGGCTGACGGTGGATGACTGCCGGAGACGAAATCCATGTTTCAGGCGTGACTGACCCTTTTCCATAGACCATGAATGCAACAATAAACAACTCCATGTGATGCTGTTGGGAATGGAAGGTGACGGAGAACAAACGGTTGAGGAGGAGTTTTTACAAGCTCAAGTTGTTTGGGAGTTAGAGTTTCTGATTGACGAAGCTCAGGTTTTCGATAGTTCGTGGCAACGAAGATCTACAATACAAGCAAAATGACTCTCTACAAGGATGGATAATAAACGACACTTGGCACAGTAGTTTTTTCAAGTATAAGAAGTACAAGGGAACGAGCCCTGAAGAACAAAAAAACAAAATTTTGCACACTGGATGTTTGGAGAAAAGGCATTTGTAACATACACAAATACTAAGATAATATTCAGGCTAGTAAATGATGTTGGTGCTGTCGTCAACAGTGATCCTGAGGTCAACAACCACTTGAAGGTTGTGTTTATCCCATTACAATGTGTCTGTGGCACAGGTGCTGATTTCAGGAGGTGAGCTATCCTATCATACTATCACTGTAGGCATGAAAGCAAGTGGCAATCTTTTAGCTTCAAGCATAACTGGGTCTATATGCTTCAAATAATGGGACTCGGGAGGAAGTTCTTTCACATTATTTGTCCTCTTCTTCACCTTGAGGACAAGGTGAGTTTTAGAGGGGAAGTATTGATGGGCCTAGGGGTTGAAAGGGAAGGAATGAGTGAATTAGTTAGTTAGTTAGTTAGGGAAATATTCTAGAAAGTTCTTAGTTGATAGGATAAATGGGAGGGGAGTGTATGTAGTGAGGTATGCATGAATTCAGCATTGGCTTATGGGAAAACTGGGGATCTCTGGGAGTTGAGATCTCTAGGTTTATTTTCTGCACTTTATCTTTGTAAGGAACTTGTCTCCATTTATATTTTCTACAAATTCATATTAATAAAAGTAGGTTCCATCATTATATTTCTAACATCCCCCAACACTTCTTTCCTCCTTTCTTACAAGCTGCCACCGCTTCCAACATATCAGCTTCTCCTTCTCAAGTATCTCACTGTGACAATTAGGCCTTGCTGCTATCGCACCACTGCCTTTTCTTCCATAGATATCTCAACTATTCCATCTGTTTTTCTTTCTTCTTTGACAAGACTTCAAACAACTTAATAAGAGGGGGTTTCAGGTTGATTCATGGAGATTGTGAAATTTTTGACCACTGAAGCATCACCTTCCTCATCATATTGTGCATCTATGTAAATACTCTTATTCCTAAAATGTATCTAGGCCAATTCGTATCTTGAATTTTAAGAATCCCTTGTATCCATGTCGTATTAAGTGTCTAGGCCTTATAGGTACTCTACCTTAATTATGCACATCTCCTTTATAATTTTAAACCTATTTTCTCTCAAATATTTTTTTCTTTTAATTTGTATTTTTTTATATTTTACTTAAATTAAGAAATACCAGTGTATTTCTACCTTAATTGTTCAGATTGATTCCTCAATTAGATATGACTAATTGATTTACCTATATTCTGAAGATCTTATGAGATATAGCAGATATATGATGAAGATATGGTTATTATAACACCTCACATATTTGAAATGTATTATTAATAATTAAATTGTAGGTTAGAAGGTTTAATTAGTGGAAATTCTGAATTCTAGGTCAAAATACACACGAAGGGTAAAATGATAATTTGACAAATGCTTAACCCTAACCTGTGAAATGGTAAAATTAGATATTATTTGATGAAAATCATGATGGATTTCGATTCAGAATGAAATTTGGAGTGGATAGGCACTTTTTAGGAAAATTGTGATTTTTACCAGATAAAATAATGCGGTACAATTCTACCGGGAAACTCAGAAATTAGATTACTGCTCTAGGATTAGATATATGTTGAAAGAGGTATTTAGAATCAAGAAAAATAATTATTTAGAATCAATAAGTTGTGAGTTATGATCAAAGTTTTTAAAATGTTTAATATAGGTATTTTAAAAGTTCAAACGTCACTAAAAAAGAAAAAGTTTTCCATATATTTCAATGAATTGTTGTGATTGTAATTATGCTTAATATCATAATCAATGATAACACATCGGTCCGGTAACGAGATGTTACAGTTAAGATATTCTAAAACACTGAAGATAATTTTGGATATTCTAACACCTGGTTCCCAGGAGGTCAATAGGATGACACAGAAGTAGTCGCTTCAAATTACTGGTTTTATAATTCTAACAATGTTTAAAGGCTTCATCTAGTCTCTTGTAAACTTCGCTACAGACAGGACATGATCCCTTTTCATGAATTAATCTTTATACATTTGAATGAAAACCTATAATTCCTGTGCCATAAACCAGGTTTCAACTTGTTCACAGTCATGCATGTATAATGCCCTTATGTATATTGAAGCAGAATGATGATTACCTCGTAGCAATTCCTGAGTAAACATCAGCAGGCTGGTCTCCACCAACAAGATTGACTGCAGCAGCTCCCAACTTCAAAAGGAAAATAGCATGCAGAAAATTCATAATGAGGCAAAAAAAAAAAAAAAAAAAAGGGAGACAGAGAGAGAGAGAGAGAGAGAGAGAGAGAGAGAGAGCAAATAAGAAGCCAACTATGTGAAGGAAAAATTGCACCCCAAAAAAAATCTTTAGGAAACCTTCTAGCAATAGCATGTTCAACTACGGAAGTTATATCAATATCAATTAAGTAATCCAACTTAAAACAGATTTCAAGAACTAACTAGCAATTCAAATTATTAAATTTGAGAAATCACTTCGGGGTTTTGAGATATAAAGGGAAGGCAAAATATCTGAGTTTGCCATGTAAAATAACAGTGAAGGGTTATTAATGACGGCTGGCAGCTCATTGCGATAAGCCAAAAATGGCCAATGGCAGAAGCATGACGGTTATATTAAATATTGTAAAGTACATAAAAAAAAGAATGGTAAAATAATGTGCTGAACATAATTGAAAAGTAATAACTTATATCAGGAACAAAAAAATTATAGAAACATCTACGAAATAAAATTCACCAAAAGTATTTCAAATTAAAGATAATAAACACACAAAGGTAAAAAATAAAAGAATCTAATATAGTTATAAAAACTGGGTAAAAATTATAGTTCATAATTGTTATTATCTTCGTATTTTATTATTTTTAAATAATTTCTATTCATACTATTTTAATATAAATACATTTTCATTAAAGTACTAATATTATATTAATAATATTAATTACTTAATTAATTAATAATAAATAAAATTTAGAGACAGAATTACTTAATAAAATTAATAAAAAAATATAATAAATAAAATTAACTAATTAATATATTCAGTCTACCCGCACACTCATTTTCTCAATATATATCGGCCAAATCACGTTTCAACTATGAACCCATGGTTCACAACAATGGCAAGGAGAGGCAGTGTTACAAGGCACGAACAAGTAACTAACAGGAGAGAAAAGTAACTAAATGAAAAGCTTAATCTTGTTCAAATAACCTCCAAAGTTCTCAATTTCAGGTTGTGAAACCAATGTATTTAAAATGAAGAGTTCATTTATACAAGGGTTTTAATGATAACAAACAAGCTTAGAAGAAACGTCAAAAATAATACAACTTGTAACAATCAAAAGTCGAAAGAAGCAATTCAACAAGACAACAAGAGCAAATCATTCAACACACATGATCAAGATCAAAGATCAAGATTGCAATATATCCTTGAGAGATTAGATCTAAATGTAAAGGTAATTGATTAATGATGCATAAATGAGCTCAAAGAATATTTAACTCTATGCATGCATTATCCATGACATCAATCACTTGAAAGCTTAAATATTTATGAAAAAGACCCTTGACATATTTTGTAACCTTAGAACATTATGCATAGATGAGCAATCCATTGCTTCCATACCTGAGGACCATCCATTTCTCACCTATCAGCGTCGTAAAATTGTGCCTCCTGTCGACTCGACTCTAGCTGACTCATCGCCCTCTCTTGTTGATTCTTCCTCTCTGGCTCCTTCACCAAAGGCTCTTCCTATTGCTCCAGGAAAAAGTATACGTACTACTCGTAACCCTTATCCTCTTTATACTTTTTTGAGCTATGACCGTCTTTCTACTCCTCATTTCACCTTTGTTTCTAGTCTTTCTTCTGTTTCTATTCCTAAGACCACAGGTGAAGCACTTTCCCATCCAAGGCGGCGCCAAGCGATGCTTGATGAGATGATTGCACTTCATTCCAATAGCACTTGGGATCTTGTTCCTGCTCCTCCAGAGAAGTCTATAGTTGGTTGTCAATGGGTCTTTACTGTCAAAGTTGGACCTGATGGCCATGTTGATCGTCTCAAGGTACGCTTAATTGCAAAGGATTTTACTCAAATCTTCGGCTTTGATTATAGTGACACATTCTCTCCGGTCGCTAAGATGGCGTCGGTTCGCATGTTTCTTGCTCTTGCTGTTGTTCGTCATTGGCCACTCCTTTAACTTGACATCAAAAACATTTTTCTTCATGGTGATTTACAAAAAGAAGTTTACATGGAGCAACCACCTAACTTTGTTGCTCAGGGGGAGTCTAGGAAGGTGTGCCGACTTCGTAAATCCTTATATGGTCTCAGGCAGTCTCCTTGGGCATGGTTCAGTCGCTTTAGTTCTGTTATTCAGGCTTTTGGCTTAATCCGCAGCAAAGTTGACCATTTTGTATTTTATAGGATCACATCTCTTGATAAGTGCAACTATTTGTTAGTCTATGTTGATGACACCATTCTCACTGGAAGTGATCAAGCTGGAATTCATCAGTTAAAACAGTATTTATTCAGTCAATTTCAAACACCTTTGGGAAGCTACGTTACTTCTTAGGAATTGAGGTGGCACAGTCTAGACAGGGCATTTCTATCTGTCAAAGGAAGTATACCTTAGATATCCTAGAAGAGACTGGTATGTTGGGATGTAAACCAGTTGATACACCCATCGATCCCACTATCAAATTATTGCTCGGGCAGGGGGAGCCGTTATCTGATCCTGGTCATTATCGGAGGTTGTTTGTGAAGTTCAATTATCTTACTGTGACTAGGCCAGACATTTCTTTTGCTGTTAGTACGGTTAATCAGTTCCTTGACTCCCCTTGTGATTCTCATTGGGATGCTGCTGTGAGGATCCTCCAATACATCAAAGGAGCACCAGGAAAACGTTTGTTGTATTCTAATCAGGGAAATACATAAATTTATGGTTATTCAGATGCTGATTGGGCAGGATCACCCTCAGACAGGCGCTCTACTTCAGGTTATTGTGTCTTCTTTGGAGGAAACCTAATTTCTTGGAAGAGCAAGAAACAACCTGTTGTTGCTCGATCTAGTGCAGAAGCTGAGTATCGTGCAATGGCAATTGCTTCCTGTGAGTTAATCTGGTTAAAACAGTTTATTAAGGAGCTTCATCTTTGTGAACAGAAACAACTTATGACACTCATTTGTGACAATCAAGTTGCACTACATATATCCTCTAATCGTGTATTTCATGAGAGAACCAAACATAGAGATTGATTATCACTTCATTTGAGAAAAGATTCAGTCAAGAGAAATCAAAACAGCTTTTGTCAACTCTAATGATCAACTCGTGGATGTCTTCACTAAACCTCTTAGAGGTCCTCGGGTTGAATACATTTGTAACAAGCTTGGTACTCACAATATATATGCACTAGCTTGAGGGGGAGTGTTAGAATACGAAATATAATATGTATAGATTTGGTTTAGATTTGTATAGATTACTTTTCTATTTGTAAATATTCTTTTCTTATTTAGGATTTCGATTAGGACTGGACTTCTCACTTAAGCCTATTAGGGTCTTTATATATTGTCACTCTTTGTATTAGCTTAATACACAACATATTATTTTATATTCAAGTATCTACAAGGGATCCAGTTTGAGTTAACTTGGCAAGAACTCCTCTAACGTCTCTGTAATAGAAAGGCCCAAACCTTTCTTGTACTGCTACGGTAAATTCCTCCCAAGATTGAGCTGTGTTATTGCTAAAGATCCACTGATACCAATCGACAGCATCTCCTTGCATCTTCAATCCAGCGAGTTGTACTTTTAACTACTACAGTATTTTGTTGTATTCGAAAGAACAAATTGGTCTTAAAGATCTGATTGTTCGGATCTTGACCTTCAAAACAAGAAATCTCTATTTTCACATACTGCAACATAGCTCTATGGTCTTCCACTTCATTATGTGTTTGTGGCGTTATTTGCCGACGGGACTTCTGCTCCAGGGAATGAATTTCCGATGACTATTGTGAAACTTTGAGATATGAAATCTCTGAAATGTGCATCCATTGTGGCAAAGTGTGCTTCAGTGGAATTGGTAATTTGAGCTAACCGCAATTGCATCTCTTCATGGTGGACTGCAAGTTCTTCGGCCAAGTCTTGAACTCTCATGGTTGTTGCAACATAATGAAAGCACCAGATAGTTACAAGGCGCGAACAAGTAACTAACTAGAGAGAAAAGTAACTGAACGAAAAGCTGAATCTAATTCACATAACCTCCAAAGTTCTCAACTTCAGGTTTATATAACCTATGCTACTTACAACTTTCTATTAACACGTGACTAATAACGCTACCACTCTATACATCTTAATATTACACGTCATCACCTAATTATCTACAATCACATTTATTATATCAGCTACACATAATCTCGTGCCCATGCGGGATTACGTCTCACATGTGTTGGTCTCTCTTCCTCGATCGTATCAGGCAGCACGTGGAAAGTAGAAATGTATCTTGATTTGCACAAAACAAAAGAGAAAAGATACGAAAAATAGAGTCTAAGATAAGAGACAAGAGATGTGAGTTTGAGACAAAGATGGCTTGGCAGCTATACTTGGGTTCACTAGAGACAAAGAAAGAACCAGAGTTTGCCAGGGACAGAACAGAAACGAAGATGAAGACAGAGCAAACAACAGAAAAAAAAAATTCTGACAGTGAGGAGAGGAAAAACCTGAGAGAATCAGAGAAAAAAGATATACAAATTAAAGATGAATAAGAAATGCCAAAAATGTTCACCGGAGAAGAAAACAGAGATGGAGAGGCTGGAGAAACTAGTGATTTTGGAGTTGCCCATAAATCACATACCCATTTTTTCAAATCACAAAACTTCCCTGAAGACCACCATCATAGCCATGGTCCCCCATGCCGCCACACGAAATCTGCAACACCACAACTTCCTCCGGGTGTTTTGTTGGATTTTTGCCATGCCAACCCGCCATGGCTGCTTTTTAACAACACAAACTCTAGGTTAATTTTGTTTTGGCAATCACTGTAAAATATGAAGTTGTAACGTCTGGCCGCTTCAAGAATCAATGACTATCCCCACATACTAACACGAGACTTTTCAGTGTGCTTTTTCCTCACTCGCACACTTCCTGGGAAAACTTCCCAGGAGGTCACCCATCCCAAAATTGCTCCAAGTCAAGCACGCTTAACTATGGAGTTCTTGTAGATATAAGGTATGTTTTGATGATAACAAAATGGCAACAACAAAAAGAGAAGATCTTTGATCAAGAGCAAAAAGCATCAACCGTATGCGGATATTGAAGATGTATGATGTAGTCACACAAGAAGAGTAATGTCACATCAAAGTGGCAAGATCATTGGATCAAGAGCAACAAGAAATAATTAGAAGAGCGACACCAAGATCAAAGACAACTAACCATGGACAACATCTAAGAGAATCTCAATATCATAACCATGGTGAAAAATGATCAAAACCAATAAAGTGCCAAACATTGTCATATTCAACAAGTCAACACATCAAGTTCAAGTAAGGATCCAAGACACAAGACATATAGCTAAGTCTAAAATCATATTTGAAATATATCTTTAGGACTTAGAATATATGTGAGGGTATATGGTAGATTACATTGCATGAGCTCAAAGTTTTTCTCAAAGTAAACGTGTTTTTCAAATTGCATAATCATAATCTTTATATACTTGAAAGAAATTTGAAAAATCCAAGGAAAAGATCCTCGACATATTTTATAACTTCAAAACATATTTATCAAGTCAAGATCTTTAACAAAAAGTGGTTGGAAGCAAGCTAGAACACATTTGAACCAAAAATCTGTTGCTTAATTTTGCTGCTGCCTTCCATACAACTTTTCGTATCTAAAATGATGGATTTGGATCTTGTGTTCTTCATAAAAGTTGTAGATCTTTCTTTTATCTTTCCAACGAGACCAAGATCACATCAATCCGACAAGTATAACTCAAGTTATGCCCAAAATACGAAACAGTGTTCTTGCTGTCAATAAAGTATTCGAACACCTGATGCAGTATTCGAATACCTTATTAAGTATTCGAATACCACACGAAAAGTATTCGAATACTTGCTGGGCAGAAGGCCTATAACGGCCATAAACGGCTATAAATGAAGTATTCGAATACCACACGAACAGTATTCGAATACTTACTGGGCAGAATGCATAAAACGGTCATAAACGGCTAGTTTTCAATGGAAACACTATAAATACATTCCTTATGACCCTAAAACGTAGAGATCACTATTCCTACACATCTTAAGGATGATTTGAGAGCTTCTACACTATCATTTGCATATTCTTTCATATCTTTCAAAGATCAAATATATTTGAGCTCATATCTTGGAAATCCATATACCCATAGTGCTTCAAGTTGTATATCCACACTTTGAGAGTGTATATTCACTTCCTAATATTCCCCTTCTTGTATTCTTGAGTTGAAAGGGTTGTGAGACCCATTGTTTGAGAGGTAGCCAAATACCTAAGTAAGTTTGGAGTAAATTGTAAGGTTACCAAGTACCCGTAAACTTGGAGATTGAAAGGTATCCAAGAACCCGAAATCTTGGAAGATTGTAAAGGTTTGTCAAGCACCCGTGAAGCTTGACCATTAGTGAAAGAGTTGATCGAGCGGCTTCAGTCTGGGCGTAGGTCACAAGTGGTGGTGACCGAACCAGGATATATTGTGTTAGCAATTCTCTAAACTCTAAACTCTTTATTTCTAGCACTCTAATTGCTTCTTTGATATCTTGTATGTGCTAGTATAAGTTCTATAATTGTGATATATTATATATTATGGATTGTCTGAATGTATTGATTAGATTTCCACATATCAAAGTTTGCTTGAAATAATTATTTAGAAATTAGAAGGAGGCTTTTGCGAAAATTTTGTAATACTCAATTCACCCCCCCCCCCCCTCTTGAGTATGGAAGAACATTCCTAACAGTTCTTTCGTTCCGGGCTACCGAAATGAAGATGCATCTTGTTAGTATAGGTAGTACCAATTAATTCTTATAAGCTATCCCAACTGTGCAGTCTCATACTTGCACAGTCTTTGGAATCCCTCTCTTTCGGGTGTCGATTCGATTCATTCATGCATGTAACCCCCCGCTGGAAGCCTGTCAAGAGCCGCTCCTTGTCCTTGCCTCTTTGCACCGGCGATCACTCCCCGCCCTCGTCAGCGCTCGAGATGTTACATGCCCACCAGCTTCCGCCTGGTTCGTCCTCAAACCACACCGTATTGGAAGAGAGGCTCTGCTCTGATACCACTTGTAACGTCTGGCCGCTTCAAGAATCAATGACTATCCCCACATACTAACACGAGACTTTTCAGTGTGCTTTTTCCTCACTCGCACACTTCCTGGGAAAACTTCTCAGGAGGTCACCCATCCCGGAATTGCTCCAAGTCAAGCACGCTTAACTATGGAGTTCTTCCGTTCCGGGCTACCGAAAAGAAGATGCATCTTGTTAGTATAGGTAGTATCAATTAATTCTTATAAGCTATCTCAAACTGTGCAGTCTCATACCTGCACAGTCTTTGGAATCCCTCTCTTTCGGGTGTCGATTCGATTCATTCATGCATGTAACCCCCCGCTGGAAGCCTGTCAGGAGCCGCTCCTTGTCCGTGCCTCTTTGCACCGGCGATCACTCCCCGCCCTCGTCAGCGCTCGAGATGTTACATGTTATTTGATATAATTTCAATCTTTAGGTAATCTGTAAGTAACTTTATTTAAAATCTATTATATATAATCCTAATCCTTAGAAAATTTTAGGATGTTTTCATATATTATATGTAACCCTTAGGGTATTTAAATAAAATTATTTTAACCTCTAGAAATTAATTGGATAAATTATTGGATTTTGGCTTTACTCTAATATATGTGAATATTTGAATTCTGATTTGGAAAATTATGATATGATGATTGGATTTGGATTTTACTCTTTGAATTTTGATTTGGAAAATTATGATATGATGATTGGATTTGGGTTTTACTCCGGTAGATGTTGAATATGAAAATTATGATATTATTGGGTAATGAATTTGAAAATTATGATGGATTTGAAAATTATGATATTATTGGATAATGGATTTGGAAATTATGATGATATTGAAATATTGAATTTGGAAATTATGAAAACTACTTGAGGAAATTTTCCAATTATGAGAATTGTTACAAGATTGAATTGATTGTATGTGATTGAATAAATTAATAATGGGAGGATAGATTTGGGATGGTATATCCCAAAGTGATGAACACAACTTTTGGGCTTTTATGCCTTTGATATTTATTTGATGTGACAATGATGTTTCCGTTCTTCCCAAAGTGGTATCTTGCAACAGTGGTTATTTCCCGGGGTACTAGTAGCAACTTTGGGAAGAGATGTGCACACTAGGATTTGATATTTTGACGATGGCCAATTTTGATTATACGTGGCTGGCAAAAGTGGTTATTTCCCAGGTCACGGGGTAGACTGGCAACAGGGTTATTTCCCGGGTCTACCATGGTTCTCTTCCCACTAAGTACAATGAACTTGAACATGATTAATAATGAAATGTTATTTGATTTGATTATGATGAATGTCATTGAATTGTGAATATTACCATTTATGTAATATTATGATTAATGTTGTGCTGAATATGTTAGTTGATAATTACCCTTACTAAATACACTAAATGGATTAAATAAAGATTAATGTAATTAATAACAATTTGATATTTGATTTGAATTTTTGAGTTATATTGTTTTATTGGATTATTATGAGTTATATTTATATTTGTTTATTTATTTATTTATTGTTGTATGTCGGATTTGGATTACCAGCTCTGCTGACGTTTGTGTTTATGTCTTGTTCTCTGCGATGATCCTACGGGGGAGCAGACACTCAGTGAAACAGGTACCAAAGGTTGGGCTAGCAGTGGGCAGTGAGGATGACGAAGCAGACTTTTCTGGCTAGCTCTAGGATTTAAAGATGTGTTTTTATGAGCTTTTAAATTTTAATTATTTCTTGACTTTAGTTTTAGTTTTGTTTTAATGTAATAAAGTCTAGCCTTGCGCTTGACAATAGTACAAGCGCGGCGGTAACACTTCCCAAATTTGATTATTTTGAACTTCCGCTGTTATTTATAAAATTATTGATTTTATTTATGCTATTATAAATTTTTAGAATTTGGGATGTTACAGTGGGAAATTGTAAAAATTAAATTAGTTGGGTGCTCTTGTAATTAATATAGATAGTGGAGCATGATTAATGGAGATAGTGGAAATAATGAACCACTAGGAATTAAATATACTTTGAAAATAATCACCTAGGAAGAGTGAAAGACTCTTGTAAATATCATATGCATTTATTGAATTTATTCTCCCTTTGAATATAAATAGATGTAGTGTTTAATCTGTTTTAAGCCAAACAATTCAGCCAAAAAGTACAAGTATTACTTCCTCTTCATATTTTTTTTCTGCACAGAAGCCAAACAAAATAGACACTGAACTATGCTAATGTTACATGAATTAGCATAACGTATTTGCTTGGTTTTGGTTTCTTGCATCAATTTGAAATCTTCAAGCAATAAATTAAAAATTAATAGAGCATTAAAAAAAATCTCAACCTAACCAAATCCCAACCTAATGCAACAAATGAAGTCATACTCTCACAACATATAAGATCATACAAAGGAGCTTCCAAAACCATTTCCATAAAAGGTGGTTGTTTATTCCGCAGAACATTCAAACTAAAAAATTTATCAAACTCCTATAGAACTCCCACCCTGTCCACAACACAGACAAAGCAAAACCAAAACATGGAAAAAAATAAAACAAAAAGTGGAAAATTTAATGTTTATATTACCTTGTCCCTCCCAAGCGCTGCATAATGTTGTAAGCCATTGCATGAACCATCCTAGCAAGTATAGAGAAAAATATTGAAATGTGGAAAGAAATACTAAAGCATGGATTATTCTCATTGGCCTTCAAGTCTCAACTTCATCAACATGCTCATGGTGAGTAACTGGGAAACATTAGAGCAATACTGTTTTGAAATACAGTTTAAGTATACAAAATTTGATGAGTTCACCAATCAATAGGGCATTAGATACCTGAAAATCTTGCTTTATAATCAGGCATTACCATTTCAGCTTATTTATATGCGCTTGTTAAAATATCCAAGCCAAGCCCGAGCCAGCTAGTGTTGGGCTCAGCTTGGTTCAGTTACATATTCTTAGGTATGACTGAATAAAACTTCATGTTCTCATTAATTAAATGAACATGACATTGATCAAGAAAGACAAGTATGCTATAAGCAAATACAGGTATAATATTAATCTAATTAACATGTGATATTGCTATTGATATAGATAGAGATATAGACATTTCTCACAACTTCACAATTTCAGAACATGACAAGGACAAACATTCTAGATAGGTGAAAAAAAGCTTAGCAATAAAATGTTTCAAAAAAAATATAAAACAGCAACAAGCATCCAACTTGTGATTATTATAATTGGCACATTTCTTAACAGGCACTTGGGTAGTGCCTGTATTACATTACAGGTGTTTCTCCTATATAAGAAATGAAAAACATGCTTCCCCCATATGAACATATGCCATCCAGAAACAATCTAAATTTAAAGGACTTCATAATCTTGCTAACACTACTAATTCTGAGAGAAATGATGTTATTGTTCTCCAGTTCGGATGAAAAATGTCAATTAAAAACGGTAGGTGAGTTTTCATTTTGATTAGAATGCAAAATCAGACAATATAAAATACTTCCCAAAAAACAAATTTTGACATCTCGGCAAAAGGCACCTGGTGTACAGGCATACGAGAAATGGTAGTCTCTGGAGTGGGGCTTCTCAATGCTTCAGACAGATTGATACATGCAGCCAGGCACTGAAAAGGATCCTCTGCTTGCAACCACCAGCGCTTCCCTTCAAGAGGCCTGTCTGCAGAATCAAATATATCATCCAGGTGGTTCTCAGTAAATGTTATTCGACCGTCATAACATAACTTGTCTACACCACCAGCATACAAATTTGCCAGATGTATTTTCAACCAGTGCAAGCCTGACTTCCCTAGAGGACGTCCCTCGGCAAACTCAAGTATGCCTCGGCATAAATCAGAACCAAGATGGTTCAAATATGGGTGCATGGGATAAGCACGCCCTCGGAAATCAAGATTGTGAGGATAGTAGAAGCCTTCTTCATCCTTCATCTTTCGTGCCACCTACATCCAAAAAGTCAATGCAACAATGATGAAGATGTGCAACCTTTCATGAAAAGCATTTAATATAACTCAATCTATTTAGGATTAGCAGGCTTCTTACAGCAAGTTTAAGTTCTATGTCACATCGCTGCGAATGTCTCTCGTTATTCTCCTTTTTGACAGCTTTGACTTTCCATTTCCATTTTCGGATTTCTGCTTCATCTTCTGTGTCGGGTTCCTCAGGGAGGGGAACCTTTAAGATGAAAAAGAGAAGTCAACCAAAAAGATATGGAAATGAAGAGGCATTATTAGAATGAAAAAAGACAGTGACCGAGACAATTTTGGATTTACATACAACATGATCCAAATACAAGTATGCAACATTTTTCCTAAAATTTAGAATATAAGATGGCTGATATTTACCAAATTAAAATGACTATGGATTATTTTTATCCATGTTAATCCTTTGAAACAATAGCACAACTCATCCTTATTTATTAAACAATTATATTTCTCGTGTTTTACAAAACCATTTTATTGAAGTTTTTTGTCCTTAAATTATTATCAGGTAACTAAAAATTTACTTGTATTTTCTCTCACCACATGCGTTTATATAGTTTTCTTTCAATTCTAACCAACTGGGTTAAGCAGATGAATACAAAGGTTAGGTGCCCTTACTATCATTGCTCAACATCCCAATGAATTCATGTTCATTAAACATGTGATGCACTGAATGTGACAATGAAAATTGAACTTGCTTAATTAAAGGGTCAAACTGTCAAAATCAAATGCATTAAATCAATCAATCCGTTAATGCATCTATCAATATCATATGAAGTTTTATGATGTTCCTCGGCTCAAAGTGAAGTTGACTTGCTTCGCCTTAATGATCAAATGGAAGTGGTTGTGGATTTTCTCCCACGCTTGCCACTAGTGGAAGATGCCTAGTATCTTGGTCAACATTTGCTCGGAAAGTGATGACAATAGCCATGATATAAGCATGCCTCTAGTCTCGTCTCCCAATCAGCGTATGCTTTGTTGATTCGATTGTGAGCTATATCATCTCCAGATTCAATGGAGTGGGATCTGACGTCTGACAACAAATCAATGCAGCTGAAGTGCTTTGATCGCTGGTTCTGTCTGCTGCTTCTATTGCAGAAAGTTTTTATGTTCCAGCTTCACTGTGATTTGATGCAAGAAAAGCAGTGGACATTTACTACGACCTCTATTGATGAATTTGTGATTTCCACCAGATGAACCTTCAAACGTGGGAGCAGCTATGTTTCCTGGAGAAGCCATGCGGGAAGAGCAGTGTATAGATCAGGCCCTATTTAGGGCTCTCATACCATAATAGAAAACACGAGAAAGTGAGAGAAGAAGAGAGGAAAAGGAGTTTTAGATTTTTGATAATCTCTGTATTATCCTTGAGACTCTGCAACTAACTGGAGAGCTCTCTATTTATAGAGTTACACAAACCTTCTCGAGGAAGCTAAAGATCTAACCAACTAATAATAAATCTAAACAGATTAATAACGGTAACAGTCACGAACATAACATAACAGAAAGGAACTAACTCAGCAACTAATACAGAACACACTCGAACAATGCAAGGACTAACACTAACACAAATACAGTGTGTACAGATATAAAGTATTATCTCTAATAAACCCCCTCAGAACTTTTAAAAGTTTAAAGAATTACCTAATATGAAATCTAAATATCAATACCATTCATATCAATATAGAAGAAAGTAACAGTTTTGAGCACAGAGACGCAAAGTAATGCAATTTGTTGGTGAAGCCTGAGTTACTAACAAAGTAATGCAAACCTATGCAAGGGAACGAAAAACATCTGATTCCTCTCATACATTTGCAGGTGAGCTAGAAGCTTTGGGCAAGTGATGAAAACCCCAGTTTGTTGGCGGAACTTTATATAAACACTATGGCTGCTCGTGATGGTTCAAGGTTGAAGCTCCAAATTGATGATTTTCAAGCTGGACAAAATTCAATTGGAGTACACCTAGGTCTTGTTTGTTATTGGAAGGGCGAGAATTGGTAGTTACAAATGCCAACCTAATTCTAGACAGTATTCTTCACGATGATTTCCTACCCTTATTTGGGCCTCCCTCAAGTTCAGAATGTCAAGTCAATAAGGAAGACATTGTTCTTGGCTTTGGGGATGTTGCTACTGCACCTCATGTTCCTATCTACCTAGGAGCAATATCTGGTGCAGTTTGGTGGCAACTCAATTGCTAGGGCGCAATTTTAAATGATGGTGTTTTGATTGCTACTCATTCCACAACAGGAAGGATTGGGGATTTCTTCCATTTTCAAAGTCTATCAGAGAGAAAGGGGCTATCATTAAGGCATTTAAACTTATGAAGGAAGGTGACTTCCAAGAAGAGAAGAATGCAGAGTATGCACTAAGAGAGATAATAAGGTAAGTTGGTCATGGAATTTCATGAGTCAACTAAAAACACCGTATACTGGAACAGGGGACCACATCAATGAAGGATTTCACAATTATTTGAAACTGAGTATTTATTCTAGCAAAGAAGCAGTAATTTTTTATTTTGGTAGGGACTTTGATACAAACCTTGGGAGAGCTTCACCCTAAAAGCTAGCTCATGAGGTAGGAGAGCCCAAAGTTCATATAAACCTCACACCAAAACCTTATGTTTCCGATGTGGGACTCTAAGTCCCATACCTTGAAATAGGATCGTAACATTTCACCACGCTCCGCAGCCCCGGCGCCTACGCGAGCTGGCTTTTCGCTAGTCTTTTACTAACCCTGGGCAATGTTGTTAAAACATAGTTTCTACATAGAAACGGTAGGGGTGAGCATAACGGTAAAATCGTGAAACGTAAACGAAACGTAAGTGTTTACTAAGTATAAAATATATATATATATATATATATATATATATTCAACATATATAAAATTAAAACACACCAATACATAAGTTATTATCTACATATTCAATAATCATATAATATTAAAATATATATTCAGTAATATTAAAATATATTAAAATAAAACATATATATTCAATAATCATAAATAAATATTAAAATATAATAACATATAATATGCAAATGTTTATAATTTTTAATTATTTTTTGAATTATCTATATATTTACAGAACTCACAGTGAACTTGAAAATGAGAAAAGAGTATATATACAAAATTGTCGGTGAACTTGAAAATGGGATCGGTATCTTCTCTCTCTCCACACAAATTCCATAAAAAACCAATTCCAATGCCTTAGTTGAATTTCGATGGCTGAAGAATCATCAGCATCGCTATCGCTGCAAGCTCCTCCTCCTCCTCCGCAGTACGTGGAGGTGAATTGCAAAAGCTTCGGCAAGACTTGGCGGTTCGCGACGAAAACCGAGGCAGGGTTTGCGATGACGCTCATAAATCGGAAGCTGAAAGGAGCATTTCTGGTTGCTTCGCACGGTGCAGGATGGTTAAGAACCAATGCTTATGGACCCAATTCCATTCTTTCCCATTTCGGTGAAGGTTAGAAGCCCCACACTGTCACCTTCTCAGATCTCGTTTCTTCAGACTAGGAGAGAAACGAGATCAGAATAGGAAAAACGAGATCAGAATCCTTACTTTTGTCGCCGCTGCTGCTATCTTCTTGGTTTGTCCGAATCTAATTAAAGACCGCCGCTTGCGAAGGACACTAGGAGAGAGCAGACAGAAGACCCAAACGAAGAGAGTCACCCAACCCAATACAATCGGGTATGTGAAAAATAATAAGATTAAGAGATATTTTATTAATAATATATTTTAAAACAAAAAAATCATTGTTTTATTTTATTAGACAAAACAGAAACAGATCGTTTTTTTTTTTGAACACTGAGTCAACTCGGTAAACTCGCCGAGGCAACCGAGTTTACCGAGTTGGCTCGCCGTTTCAACTCATTTTACGTTTCAGCATCCATTTCAACACGTTTTTTAGTCAAAAAACGTAGAATCGTACGTTTCAACCGTTTCGACACTACGTTTTAACAACACTGACCCTGGGCGAACACAGTTATGCATAAGATGGTATTGAAGAACGACAATGCGATCTTGGTGGACGTTGTTACGCATCATGCATAAGATGCTCATTACATTTCAAGCACTGGGATCCTAGTGGATATATTAATTCAAGGGATCCTTGAGGACAAGGTGAATATTTTTCGGGGGGAGTATTGTTAGTGTTAGAGTAGTTGTTAGAATAGTTCGAGTATATATAACAGAATAGTCCCACATCTTGTATATGATAGATTAATTTCTTTATTTGTTAATATAAATATATTCCTTGTGTGCTCGTATTAGACACAATTATCCAATCATAAGTTGGTACTAGAGCTAGTTGTTTTGGGGACCCTTACTTTCGCAAAAACCCTAAGCCCACTGCTTAGGTGTTCTCTCCTTCCTCACTGTGTGTCCTTCCGGCAAGTCTTCATCTGTCCTGCGTCCCTCCGGCAGATCCTCTACGTCGTGCGTCCCTCCGGCTTGTTTCTGCAACCATCAAAACCACCGTCCGTCACTATTCATGGCACCGGAGTACTATTCTGACATCTATTTCCACTGGAACACCTGCGATTTGATCCTCCTCTATGGCGACCAATTCTGCAAAAGACCCAGTAACAAAGGAGCCCCCACACGCTGTAACGCGCGGCTCCCTCTCCCTACATGTGGTGCTCACGCACCACCTTTCACAGCACGTGTGCACTGTTTCGGCGTCCTTTTTTTATCATTCCAGGACAGAACAGCTCGGTTTTTCCTCCTTCTTCCAAATCTGCCCTTGGTTCTTCGTGGGTCTTACGTTTAGCGCGTGTTTCTTCGTGTTTGGCTATTAGTATGCTTCCATTTACTTGGTTCAGCAAGTTTTTCTATTGCATTTATAATTTATTTTAATGGCAGCATCATCCCCTCATCACTCGAAGGTTAACTCTCCTCCTGCAAAAAATTCCTCGGGTATCATCACCACCAATATTGGTCCCATTACCTCCTCTAAACTGAAGGGTTCTGATAACTACAAGAATTGGGCCACCTCTGTTCGTGTTTGGTTCTTTGGACAGGGGCATGGGCGTCATCTCACTGTTCAACCTACTGCTATTCCTAAGGCTAAGAAATCTAATTGGGAAAGGATTGACAAACAACTTCTGAGTATCCTTTGGCAATCTATTGATCCAATGTAACACCCAAATTCTAACAATTTATAATAGCATAAATAAATTCAATAATTTTATAAAT